GGAAGTCCTACATTTGACGTTTTATTGGGTCGTTTGACCAGTACACTGAAATGTGGGCTTGCGGCATATAGGGCTGCCTGGGGTGGAGGCTATGCCAACTCCCTACGTGGCTATATGTGACTGAGCCGTCCTACCTTGTGCTTCCTTGTCTTCTCAGAGTCCAATTGATTCTGAAGCTTAGCAATTTTGGCAGCCAGCACCTCTGTCTCCATCTCCAGGACCTGGGACTTCCTCTTCCAATATAATGCACTCTTAGACACTGGGGCAAAGATACCAGACTGGTACTTGTTTTTCTGTTCACCTCCAAGGCTTGCATTCTGCAATTCCTCCATGGCTAATTGAATAGAGGAGCTCCGATCTTCCCCATCATCATACAAAGGCAGAAGACTCCTTAGCACAGCTGTAAGGCGCTCTTTCGCAGATGCAGCTCTCTGCATGGACATAAAGAGACCACGAGCAGTTATTTGAAGAATAAAACACTGAAAAAAAAAGTGCAACTTCCAAGCCTCTCCTCACCCCTCCACCCTCCCAGAAAAAGAAAAAGGAGCAACGTTCTGACTCTGTGAGAACAAGCGGAGGATAGAAAAAGTGGTGTTGAGATATGGAGGAAGACAAGTGTGAGAACTGTACTTACTACTTAATAGTAAGTTAGTGCTGCTTATTGATTGAAAAAAAAAAGAAAAAAGTACTGCTTATTGATGCCTTAAATGACCACCCGCGGATGGAAGTCGGTGTTTCTCGGTGGGGAAGGCGCTAACAAGAGAGGTTGCTAAAAACAAAGAAGCTGCTATAGCCTATAGTTTCATTTCTTTACCCCCCTCTTTTTCCGACAATTTGAACTACTAATTTCTTTGCTTTAAAAAACAAAGAACAAAAAAGAAAACAGGTGTATATAATAATATTAATACCTGAAAACCGGGTTCATCATCCCTTACGTAGCTTACACACTCCATGCTTCCTGTGCTTCTGGCCTTAGGTGATCCGTTTGTGTTGCAGTTGCCTTGCCTGTTGTCTGCTATTTCGTGTGGCAATGGTAAAGTGGAACGACACCCTGTTTGCTTTCGTTTTTTTTTTCACTCTTGTCGTGAAAGAATACAAAAGGAATCGCAGCCAGCACATGTCAGCCTCTAGAATAGATTACTTCCTAGTATCGGAAGAGCTGATAGGATCTATTCACTCGATCGAAATAGGTGATCTCCCGCACTGCACATGTCTAGATCACAAACCTGTGACGTTAGAGCTGACCTTAAATAAACATATCCAAAGGGGCAGAAGTTTCTACAAGATAAACAATTCCCTGGTAAAAACTCCAGAGCTAAGAAAAGCCATACTACAGGTATGCTTGGACCACGACAGCGACTCACAGTCGTTCCCTGATTTAATCAATGCACTAACGCAAGCATCGTCAGCAGTGGCCAGGCAGCTAGCAGCCAGAAGGAAAGCTAGGGAACAGGAACTTCGCCAAGCCCTACGTATAGCAGAGAGGAACCTAATCAGCAACCCGGGCACGGAATTATACGAAAACACAATAGAGGAGGCAAGAAGGGAGTTAGGGGACTGGGAACGCTGGAGGGCTAGGGGTATGCAGTTGAGAGCAAGAGTAAAAGAATGGGAAGAAGGAGAACGAATGACAAAGTATTTCTTTCAAAAGATTAAAACCAGAGGTAGGAATTCGCAAATAGAGCAGCAGGAAGGCTCTCAGGGAGTAGTCTTAGATCCTGAAGGGTTGTTGTCAGTAGCCAGTAGCTTCTACACCTCACTCTATAGGTCTAGAGAAGGGGACCAGGATCCAAGACAGGTAAAGGAAGTTATGAATAAATTCCTAGCCTACCTGGACCGCACGGTGAATGGGGTCCAGGCAGAGATGCTAGACGCCCCGCTTTCGCAAGAAGAGCTGAGAGGGGCTTTAGATACAATGCCTCCAAACAAAACGCCGGGCAGGGATGGACTAACAAGGTAGTTCTGGCAGGAGTACTGGGAAATCTTGGGAGGGGAATACGAAACCTTCTTGAACCAGGCATGGATCAACGAAGGCATGGGAACGGAATCATCAACAGGGGTAGTCACCTTATTGTATAAGAAGGAAAACCCTAGGGACATTAAAAACTACAGACCGATTACACTCCTGACACTAACACACAAGATAGTGGCCAAAGCATTAGCGAACCGCTTGAGGAGGCTAACGGCCAACTGCTTCCACTTGGATCAAACTTCATCCTGGACAACGTGATGACTTTATCGGAATCGGTGAGATTCATAGCGAACAAGAGAATGAACGCGGCCATCCTCTTCTTTGATTTCGAAAAAGCATATGACCAGGTCAGCTGGCCTTTTCTTCAGCAATGCATGGAGAAAATGGGAGTAGGTCCCAACTTTCGCAAGTGGGTGAGAGTATTATACAACGATTCAAATGGACAGGTACAAGTCAACGGATATCTTTCAGATAGATACAGAATGACTAGATCAGTGAGGCAAGGTGACCCATTAGCCGCCCCCATCTTTCTCTTTATCATGGAGGTCATAGCTTCATTCCTTAGGAAAGACCCTTCAATCGACCATCTAATAGCAGAACCGGATCAGCAGGGGCGTATAATAGAATTACCCACCACGATACTATTCGCAGACGATCTCATAGTACTCATCAGGGCCACGGATTCCTCTTTTCAAGCACTCACAAAAGCGATGGAAGCATTCCAATTGGCATCGGAAATGAGAATTAACTGGCCTAAAACGATAGGATGGTGGCTTATATACGACCAGCAGCACCAGCAGCCCCAGCCCCCTGACCATGGGGGAATGGAGTGGCTACCCTCACACCAACCGTTGAGGTATCTGGGGATTAGGCTAGCGCACGAAGGCCCACATCACTCCATGGCCCCTGATCAAATGACCAAAATGCTTGCAAAGTTGGACGCATGGTTGACCATTTATACCTCCCTGTACGGGAGAGCCTTGGTCATCAATGCCTCCATCTTCTCCATGCTATGGTATGCGGGCACCTTGTGGCCACCCCCAGGTTCAACACTTCGAAGGCTCCAAAGGGTTGCAGCAGCCTATCTGTGGACAGGGAACCCGACTAAGGATAACTTCATTTCTAGGGTAGCCTGGAAACAAGTAACACAAACAAAGAATCCGGGGGGACTGGGCATCCAGGAACCAGAGCAGCAGATTAAGGCACTCCAATCAAAATGGATTATCAAGCTGGTAACGCAACCCCACTTGCGCTGGGTCCCCCTAGTATTGGAGCACATACGAGGGCTTTCGAAGTTCTCAACTCCTCCAAATATGGAGGGCACCTTCTGGATATTCTGCAAAGGGTGGGCAAAAAGGGGTAGGCCAAGGGAAGGGGGGGGTGAGGAGGGAACTTCCTCCCCATCATACTGGGCACAGATTCTTAGGATATGAGAAGAGATATTCCCGGCTAGAGTACGAAAACCTAGATCCAAGGAGGAAGTCCTCAGGCAACCCTTGTTCTGTAACCCCTGGTTACAAGATTCCCAAGGGAAGCCGAGGACACTAACAGCTAGGGACACCAGATGGGGGAATTGGTTGGAACACGGGGTCTGGCATATCAAGCACTTATGGTCCCAGAATGATAATAGATGGAAGACAGGGAGGGAACTGAGAGCCACGATGAAAGGTTGTCATAAGCTTACGGAGAATCTAAATGATGTTCTAAATTCTAATCTCCATTCCGCAAGAATGGACGCAGTTGTTGAGAGGGCCGTGCAAATGGGAATGGGGTGATTGGGCGACCTGGCATATAAGTGCAGTTCCAGAGCAGGCCTTCCGGGTGCAGCAGGAAGTGGGCCCCGATAAACAGTGGCTTGATGCAGAGATGTTCGTAATTCGTAATCCGGGAATCACAGTGAGTCACCTGGATAAGGAATCCAAGACAGCAATCACAGTTAAGAAGTGCCTACTCAGGAAGATCAGGGTGGTAGAGGATGACGAATTTACAGTATTTGCACCCACGGTGGCCATTGAAGATTTGAAGTACGACCCGGCGGAATGGGCATGGAATATTAGGGGTGGAGAGACACGAGTGACAACGAAGATTAACATTCTCCGCTATACAACGAGACTGGGTTATAGGCTGAGGAGAAGATCGACCCATCTGGACCTTCCCCTAGCCTTAAGATGGGAAAAGAGGGAGGGGATACCAAGAGACCAGGTGGGGAAGTTGCCCTGGTCGTCCCTTCACAGTATAAGATTGGGTAAGGTCAGAAGTCTACAATGGCTCATCCTCCACGTGGCCCTCCTAGTCAACTCTTGGTTGTATGAAAGAAGAAGCCGGCAAGCTAGGGCAGAGGAGGAACGAAACTGTACCCTGTGTACGGGTGGGGCTCTGGAAACGATGGTCCACTGCTTAATCTCATGCCCGGAGGCAAAGAAGGTGTGGGCGTTAGCTCGCGCACTATGGTCCCGGGTCACGGAAGTTCCCTTCCCTCCGATCAGAGACAGACTCCTAATCAACATGGAAGCGCCCAGAGACTGGAATTCCTGCCAAAAATACATTTTCCGGCTACTGAGGCTCTACGCACTGTGGACAGTGTGGAAAAGAAGATGCCAAAGGGTGGTAGGAGGGAATCATATGACTATAATGGAAGCCAGAGGAATAATGTACAACCTGCTGGAAACAGAAATCAGGGCACAATGGCAGAGAGCCAAGAAGCAAGCGGAGAGGCAGGAAGAATTAAATCCAGATAAGGCTAAGGAAATAATTAACAGGTTTCGGACAAAGGTTCTAGCAGGGGACAAGGTGGCTTCATTGGAAGGGAAAGCCTTGCGCTTCCATTGGTTTAAGGACGATCTCCAGGACCCGCCATATGAGGACGAGAATGGGGACCAGGAGCTGGGACTACCATAAACTGCGGGAGGGAGGAGTGATCTGCAGAAGAAATCGCAAAGGGAAGGAACCTCAGACCCACTTAAAATAAATCTAACTTCCCAAGGACAGGACTCAGATACAAACAGGGCTGGGGCAAAAGAGAGGGAGCAGCAGGGAAGGGACGTACAGCCAAGGAGGTCAAGTATTGAAGGGGGAGAATAAGGGACAAGGGACACCAATTAAAGKGTCAGGGGAGGAAGCAGGGTTTAGGGTTTAGGGTTTTACAACACTTAAAAGGCAGAGAAAGGGGTTTTAGGGAACAGGGGGGAACACAGCTTTTGTGAAGAATTGGTAAAAAGAGGAAGGTAGATCACATGGCAGCAAGGGAGGATCTCTTCCTAGGTTGAACAGGAATTTCGGGCAGATCTGTTAGGGAAGATCTGAGAGGGAAGAGAGACTCAAGGCAAGCTGACAGTCAATCCTCCACCAAGGGCGGAGTAATCAATGCTGTTCAGGGGTCCTCCGGCCGGACGGGAGGAAGCGTGTGTTCTTACTCTGTAATGTATTATGCTGTGACTTGCCGGTGGAATAGGAACCGGACTGACGCTCCCCAGAATAGAAGGAGCTTTTTTTTTGGGAAAAAAAAAAAAAAAAAAAAAGCACCATAGACCTCATTATATTTTCATTGCCACTAAAAACACCACTTAAACAACCAGTACTAAACTAGGCACTGTTCTTCGGGACTGGAAAGTTTATTGCCCTGTGCACCAAAAAAAACGAGCCGT